GGCCGTTTATAGATAGTAGTTGCTAGCGACTGCATTCTCAATCATCACGTCGAACAGAAAGGCGCTAGTTCCGATTTGAGGTTAGTCCTTTTTATACAACATAGATTGCAGCAGCATGAGTCATCTGCACTCGGGGAACTCGAACGGTGCCAGTGCGTGTGAACCGAATAAACCATTATTCAGCGTGTGTGGGACTGGCCGGACAGTTGATTCTTTCGAACGTGACACGCCCGGCGCCGATGTTGTGAGCTTTAGGGCTGTCGCAAACTTTTGTCGAACCGGATTTTTAGGTCGAACTTTTGGGTTCGACTCTCGCACTTTCCGCACTTTCCACCAAATTCGACCGGTTCGACTTTGTGGACAGTGTGGCCAGACCTTGATAGAAACATGTCTAGGTTTGGAGAATTTTTTTCTTTTATGCAAAGAGTTATTTGAATTTTGTGAACAGCTGCAATTAAAAGAAACTAACTCTAATCACTGAAGAAGTTAATAACTTATTTTTTTTTGTACTGTATTAACTGAAATAACCAGTCAGCACTGCCCTTAATGCATCACTTAGTCATGACCATCCAATCCGAAACCAACTGGCCAGCCTGCCGCGCATGCGCACACGAGTCGAACCTCAATACAAGGTTCGTCGAACTTTCTACTACAAGTTCGAAAAAATCGACCTGGTCGAACTCGAACCTCGGCCGGTTCGCGACACCCCTAGTGAGCTCGCAGTCATTTCGGCGTTCATCTGTCTTGTACGCACAACAGGGGAACATTTATTTTTTATTATTTTATTTACCTTGAAAATTTTCCCGCTAATTTTAGTGGAAAAATTTCCTACCGAATTTGGAGAGAAAATTTTACCCTCTAACCCGGAAACGGGTGCCCTGCGCTCTAAATCATGGCACCACGGCGAGGAGGATTGCCATCAGAAAGGAGAAAAATGCCGGGAGAGGGACTCACTCCCACATTGCTCCGGGCCAAAGTCTCAACCCTGTACCCCTGTGGGTCCGGTGGGGGGGTAGAGGCCCGTTCACACACTTGCGATCGAGTATGACCGGATATGCTGCTGCGGGGCTGGTTGTAAGCCGTCTCAAGAGGCTTAAAAACTGATCTTGTCGTTTTTTAAGCATCTTACGACCGGATGCGCTGCTGCGGGGCTGGTTGCAAGCCATCTCAAGAGGCTTAAAAACTGATCTTGTCGCTGTCGGTTGTAGTCAAACGCAAATTTGTGAACGGGCCTTAAAAGGGCGGTGCAACGATTTTCGGACTTTGGCCAATTGACTGCGGAAATCGTCTGTGTCACCTATAAAACAAAGAACAGAAAAGCATAATTTCTTTAGAGCGCTAGTTTTTATTAAAAAAAGAAAAAAAAAGAATGAAACAAACCAAAGGTCAAAGTGCCTCTCAACTCTCCACGTCGCCTTTCGAGTGACCATGTTTGGGGGACCACCTGGTTTCCCATTGGGCTCCCTCTTCAGATACCCCAGCCGCTTCCTCCGCAATTGTCGACTTTTAAAGGATTAGCAATGTCAAAGGTCACGGCGAGCGATTGACACAAAGGACGGTTCGTCACGTGGCCGACGGCGAATGCCGCAGCAGAGGGGGACAGGTTTTTGTTGACTTCCGCATATCCCCCAGTGGCGCTGTCACTGTAGTTCCCGCAACAGCCACACGCGGCTTCAGATCAGCAAATAGTTAGCTTTTTTTCTTTGCAACTACGCAGCAGAATAACAGTTTATTGAAGCAAGGTGACACGTTTTTGGTCACTTGTGCCTGAATGAACAATATAAAAGATACAAACTGCCAACTCTTTGAACATTAATATCGTTGCACTACCCATCTAACGGTGACAATGTTTGACCAGAGGGAAATTGGCGACTCCCTCACAGAAAAGGGGGGGGGGGGGAGAGAGGCAGGGGGGTGATGTTTCTCTATTTTGTTTGCCCGATCCCCCAAAAGTAATCCTGGTGATAGTTAGGAGGAGAAAATTGGCCTAGACGGGAGGGAGGAATCATGTTTGTCTTTTTAGACTTATAGCCTCGTCCCCCTAGAGCAGTAAACACAGATTTTTGTCTGGAAACACCACAAAGTTACGTGTTGCGGATGCTGTCCCACTGTAACGGCCAATACTCACGACAAACAATCGACGGACAGGTTCATGCTTGTCCTTGAACTTGAAGCGCCGCAAGCAGTCCCACCGAGGAACATCTCTTAAAGACAAACTTATCCTCTTAACCGCTTGTAACCTCGGCTGCCTCTCTTCCCTCCCTTCTACCCTTCCTCCCGTAGCTCGCTCCACCACTTGACCTTCAGAGAAGATTTTGGCGGTCACCGATTGTTTCCGCAGTTCCCGTTCCTTGATTGCTCGTGGGGGTCCTGGCTTGCTTGCTGGCGGCCTTGTTGCGAAAGAGAATTTGCTGCGACTGGTTTTGCTCGCGAAAACCTGGTGTGCAAGGTGATGCTTCGAAACACCGAGGTCTACGCCACTGCATCAGGATGGATACACTGAGGTTTGAGGACTGACCAATGTAAGACTGCTTGCCACGAAGTAGGACATGACGTTTCGGCAAACCATTCCGGCAGGCAGGAAACTTGTCATCACGTTTTGCGATAATCGGGATGCCGTATTGTTCCCCAAAAGACGCCTTGGATACAAAGTTATAAACATCCTCAAAATCGGCATAAAATTTCGTGGTGCTCACCTAGAATTCCTCGAACGACCCAAAAGAAAGGAACGATTTGAGATTCTAAGTTCGGAAAATGTTTAATTTTTATTGTCATGACTGTTTGCGGAAAGTTGCCAATGGCAAATGAAGACTAGATGAAGCTTTAATCAAGAAATAAAGCAATCGTCTCCACTTTCACAGTGTTTGTCTCCACGTTTTACGCTCAAAGAGCAAAGCACGAAAAGTGTTTCGTTGACAACTCCAGTGCCACTAGGAAACAAGGTTCCTTGTCCCCATGTTCTGCGTCGTGTCCGCCAAGTGGGACGGCGGACTCTGACAAACAGGCTGTCTCTCGTTGTCAAGTGTCGCTGTCGTTTGTTGCTGCTTTGTCGCTCTAGTGCAGGGGTGGCCAGGCTGGCCTGGCCTGAGAGCCGCAAACAAAGCCACGGAACTTCTAAGAGCCGCAGGGGGGGAGGGGGGGAACTTAACTTTTGTTCAGAGTCTGACTGTACGTATGGGGGCACAAGGCTGTACGACTGTACGTATGGGAGTACAAGGCTGTCAAACTGCAAGCTGCAGTGTGCTTTATTCTGAAATCCTTTCTTCTTTTTTTCTTTTTCTGGGGAAACGCAGAAAGTGCGCGGGGGGGGGGGGGGGGGGTCTTCTTATGAGGGATCCGCGAGCCGCGCTTGGACCAGCAAAGAGCCGCGGTTTGGCCACCCCTGCTCTAGTGGGACGTGGCTATTAGGCTAGGTGGCGCAAGCTACCACTTGTTACAAAGGGTCCAGCCATTTACACCCATCCATCCATTCGGGGGGAATTCCTCTAGCTGCCTCGCTGTCATTGCCCTCGTGGACAATGAAAGAGAGGCCCATAGCTTTCAGTTACAAATAATAGTACAAATCCAACTCCAACTCCAAGTACAAATAATACGGTCCAGACTAGAAACCTGAAGTATTTTTTATCCCGACTCAGAAGTACAATGACTTTGAATGCTGATGAGTTAAACGGCAAGACATTGATTGTGAACCACCCGAGATTTGCAAGGAAACTGGGATGGCATTTTAGGGGCGAAGCTCCTTAGGGTCTAACCTTGTCAGGCGTCCGTGCTCACATCGATTGCACTGCCTCTGGGATCGGCCCACTTTAAGAAAAAAAACGTACGCCCGCACGGGGGTTCCAACTCAGGACCGCTTGTTTAAGAGGCAGACATCTTAACCACTACGCTACACTCCAACGTTGCATGTAGCCGCTGCACTGCGGTCAAATGCTCAACTGCATATATAACCACGATCCATACCACACATTCTCTTTGACATGCACCGTTGACTTAAGCGGTGGAGATGCGTTCCCAAAGCTTCTAGCAGATCCAAGCTGATCCGCTAGAGCCGCTGGCTCTGCATGTCACCGACCATAAAGCAGCAATAATGAAGTCGAAACGCTACCCGGAGCTCGGCACTACCTATGAGCAATAAAAAAAAAATCAGCACCATCAGCAGTACCTATGAAGAATAAAATCAGTATCATCAGCACCACCAGAGCTTCGCCCCAATCAACATCATTCATCACGTAGAGATGTGGCCACTTTTTTTAGGACTATTGACCTTCAACACTTACCAAACTTATAGCTGTATATTATCATCTTTTTATATTTTTTGCATTGGGAGATTGAAATATTGTTTAGGGATGAAATTCAAATTGACAAAAATATTATCAATGGGCGTTTTTCTGGGTTTATTCTAAAACACAGAATCCTAGTATACTTAGGCATTCAGTTCACTGCTATCAGACGTCAAACTTCCTGATCATTATCCAATTCAACTAAAAGCAAAAGCAAACAAACAAAAAAAAAGCAGTCATTTTCAAGTAACTTGAAACCCTTAAAGGTTGAGCACTGAGCCACTTGGAATGACTTCATATTGCGAATAACTTAAAAATTTTCAAGATTTTGCATCATGACCCTTTAACTAAAGCAGAGACGTGCCGAGTGTTCTTCAGATACACTAGAAAAAAACCCCAAAAGCTACGCAAACATGTCTCATCTGGTCCAATTGCTCGATCACAGTGCTTGCACGCAACCTACTGTCTCATGAAAGCAGTTCACCAAATGACAAGGCCTAAAACTCCTCCCATTCCTGATACCGTAACCTCCGTTTGAAATCGGGATGCCGATTCAAACGCCTTTGCCCTAATCTCTAAAATGACAAACTTTATTGAAAATAAAAACAAACAAACATTAAAAGTGATATGCTGAAAGACACGAGAAAAAAAAAAAAAGAAAAAAAAGAGGGAAAAGTGCTTGAACTTTAGTCGCAATACGAAAACGGACAAATAATTATAATAATAATAATAATATATTTTATTTCCATCTCACTCGATGGCGGCGACCAAGGGAAAAAGCTGCATACACAGCTTGACGAGCTCTTGATCGCCTACAGTGCACGGCGACAAAACACAACAGGAAAAACAAAAAACAAAAAGAGAAAAAAAAAAACACACACACACACACAGAGGATGCAATACGCAAAAATTCATGGCAGATAAAGCAATATTATCAAATACGAAAACAAAGATTTTAACTAGTTATCATGACTACCTATAATATATAATGAACGGATTTCCCCTATTGACATTTTATTCCAGTCCAAGTTTTTCGATTCATAAAGATTTAGTAAATTAGGAATATTGTGCCTCGGCATTTGAGTGCCATGATTTGTTTTTGTCGTCGAAAAACAAAAAGCACGAGTTGACAGTTAAAACACTAAAAAGGCGCGAGGAAGAGAGTGAGAATGTCGACGAGTGAACGACTTTGTCCACACACAACCGTGGACGCAAGAAACTGGAACGCGATCGAACCTGCGAGGCGACGCTTCTGAACGCTCGTCCTCCGCAGAGGAACCTGACGCGTTGGCGAATGCGGGTCGAGTGTCCGGTAACATCGCAAACGCAACTTTGTCGTTGAAAAGCAAAAAGCACGAGTTGACAGTTAAAACACTAAAAAGACAGGAGGAAGAGAGAGATTGTCGACGAGTGAATGAATTCGTCCGCACATGGCTGCGGACGCAAAAAACTGAAATGCGATCGAACCTGCAAGGTGGTGCTTTCCTGCCTCTTGGGCCCGCGACCGCACATTCGTCCCAGAGCCGACAGTGCGGCGACAAGCTTCCACCGCACTGTCAGCTTGGGGGCGAACGGAGTGTTGGAAATGCAACGATGAAAAGCAAACTATATACAATGTCGGTGAAATGAAGCTATGTACAGAGCACAGTCCGCGTCTGGAGGAAGAGGGCGGCTTCAGAAGGATGTGGCGATGCTGGCGCCAAAGGCCTTGAGGAGGGTCTGGAGGAAAATCATGTCTGGCCTCATCAAAGTCTTTCTCTTGGCGTGAAGGGAGCACAGGTAACTCGCCGACAGGAAGTTCGTCACGAAGTCCTCCGACGCGTCCTGGAAAAAAGGTGACGCCCGTCAAACGCCGACGAATCGAGGCGACAAGTTGGAACTGAGACAGTCCCACAATTTTAATGTCGAAAAATTTACGGCCCGCATTTTTTACATCGTTTCTAGTGACACACGAGGAGAAAATGTGCCACCTTCGTTCAAAATGCTGCAAATTTGCTGCATACGGTAGAATCTTGATGATACGACGACGGTTCGTCCAAATTTCAGTACGATACGAATTTTTCGAAATTCCCGGCCGAAGTTTGTTAAGGCTAACCTATTACGTTTCGGGATAGTCTCCGAATGCTTTCTCGGCCGTGGTGGATCATGTGAACGATCATCAACGTTTACACATCCTGTTGGGTGGCATCACTTGGCTCCTACGACTTTAGCAGGCTTTTTGAGTCACTTCTCTCGCCATTCTTTCTACATACGCGCCGTGCAATCCCGATAACCGTAGGTGCATACCAAAACTTGAAAACATAACCACGTCCAGCGCTGCTCTGTGTTGTCGCGCGATGAGAATTTGGCTTGCTGGAGTAACTTGCGTTTGTTTACTCCAGGGTTGCTGCTTTATATTTATTGTCACGCGATAAATGGGTTTCAGCAACTCTGACTGACTTGAGTGAACGTGAGAAATGACGTTCAGAATTGACGTTGATCGTGGAATCAACGCTTATCTAACGGCTTTCGCAAGTGTGAATTCACAAATCCTACAGTGGGTGCTCCTCCGGAACCAGAGGAAAACTTGAGAATTGAGGACTGAGACCTGCTTTGTGCTGAGAAATCGGACTTTGACTTCATTACCGCAGATGACAGGCTCGCTTGCTGAGGCAATCGCTGACGAAGTGACGGCATTGCAAGGACGGTCAAGTAGCGGAGATGATGACGGCGACGTAAACTAATGACAAGCAGCCACTGACGACTGCTGAAACACTGCATGCCCTCGATGTGCTTCGCCGCATAGTGAGGCCGAGATCAACGTCAGCAACGACAGGTACGCTCGTTCTTCCGTGTTCCAAAAGTGCCGTTTGGGTGACATTGAACAAAAGAAGACTCGGAAGAATATTACCGACTTCCTTAGATGGGAATGTGACCAATGAATTGCACAAATAACTGCCCCTTTGCTTTCACGTAGTTAGGCGACTTGTTTTTTGTTAGTATGAATTTTGGATGATACATATATTTCCTGCAATCCCTCGAGATTCATATCACCGATATTCTGATATCGGTTATATGAATATGAATGAAAGAGATGCCCCACCCGAGAAAGGTAACCCATCCCCATTTCTGGCTCGAGGTGCTATTTCATTTGAAACACCGAAAGATGGCCCACTCCCAGTAATCATAGTTTCGGATCAATGATGACCGTGGCGTAAATGCGTCTAGTTAGCTATGGCGAGATATAAGCAAACACTGCTGACTGGAAAGTACAGTCATCTTTGCTTTATTGCCCCTTGCCGCGATAACAACTTTGACAGAGACACACAATCTAAAAATAGCATTTTTTCAACTTGCCTCGACTGCACACCAAAAGTTAGCCCACCCTTCAATTTCACCCAATTTTCTAACTATATTAGGTGGGCTATCTCTCAGGACTTTACGGTATGTGGGCCAACGTCGACGGACAGACGACGCGGGTCGTTGCCGACGGGGCGCCACGACGAGGACCGAAAGACGAGGCAGGCCCACCTGTAGCGCCTGCAAGGCGAGCCCCTGCATGTAGTAGCAGTCGGAGCGACTGGGGGCCAAACCCTGCAGTATCTCCCTCACCACTCGCGCAAACGACAGCCGCGGAATGAGGAGCCGCGTGGTCCTCTGGAGGTGACGGATGTTCTTCAGCCAGGGTGGGGCACGAAGCTTCGGCCTCCCATTGCCCTGGGCAGAAGAGGAGAGGAAACCGCGCTGATTAGCTCCCGCCGATTGGCCTCCACCGGGCTAAAGTGTCAAGCGCCATTTTTTAAAAGAAAGCTGATGGCAACTTTCTTTTCTTCTAAAGTCTTACGCTGCATGAAATGCGGTATTTCAGGAGCGGTCGTCTAAATTTGCTTAGAAGACAATTAACGGTCGTCTCAAAAAGAAGCTATACTTTTATTAATTTTACCGCTAAACCTGGCGGGAAATGCACCGACGGGCAGACAGATGGGCGAAATCTTGCGATTGGTGGAGCTCCGTTGAAAAGCATTTCGCACCTCCAAAAAAAGAACTCTAGCAATTCCTGCAGTTAGGCAAATCAATACCAAATAAACACACTAAAAAAACTCTTTTTGCATTGTTGTGCCAAAGGCAGACTTAACACAGAATGCACTGCATACTGCTTCGCACTGCCACTGCTGGGAGGAACTCTGCACGTGTCTTGCGCCTCGACGGCACGAATGTTGTCGTACGCCACGTCTCTGCAAAAAAGCCCCGCCAAAAGCGGAGTAAGCTCTGCCTGCACACCGAAAGTGGTCTTGAAGTGGCAATAAACGCACCGCCGCTGGGACACCGCCCTTCTCCGATGCCATCGGGCGGAAATCGAGGAACCATTTTTCTTGTGACGCGGTAAATGCGCCGATCGGGGAACTGTTTTGGACGCCCTGGGGGCAGTAAAATGCGAAGTTTGTGCACGCAATCGACAACTAAAAGTTACCCGTCTGCTACAATCTCTTAAAATTATGCGATTTCTCGTTTGTTTGAGCAGTATTTATGGTCCGTGGCGGGCCGTAGCTGAAAACAGTTCCGAGATAATAAAATTAACTTCTTTAGGAAAAGGGGATTCTTAAAAACCCTTACATTTAATGATTTTTAGAGAACATTGAGACAATGTCTATGGGGTGCCCCAGATTACTTGCATCAAACTTTTAAAAAAGCAAACGGAGTCCTCCAGGGAAGTAAAACAAATTGTACGTCGTTAGCAAGCGTCTTAACATATTCATTCTGATGTTAGCCTGAGACTGAGGCAGGAAAAGAGGAAGTTTCACAGTAGAAGGAAAAGGAACAGTCGAGGATACCTCTCTAACACAGCTAAAGACAAGTTTATTCGGTCACCCTCTTATATACACTCCACAATCTTCACCACAGAACCTTCGCGACCTCCAAAGCCAAAAGATAACAAAGAACTCATCTCTTTCCACCACAATAATCAAACGACCTTGACAATCCTACAAAGCCCCCTCACCAACACAACCTATCTCCTCTCTCCCGGAAGACGATCGACCTTCGCGTACATAGCACACCCTCCTCCTCTCCTCCCCGGCCCACAATCCCGAAACAACCCGGCAACAAAGGATACCAATCCACCTTATCAAACCTAGTTGCATAGTTGCAACATAGTTGCCACATTTTTCTCAATCTGCCAAATAATTTGGTCGATCAAGACCAATTAGCAAACTTCAGTTATTCCTTTAAGGGGCGAGTTGTGAATTGGAAAGCGCTCCATTTCTTTTTTTTTTACGATATGGTGCAAGTCATCCCAGATGCCTGAAATATATATCTTTTAACCTGTTTACAATCCACGCACTAAATACTTTCAAATGGCGTTCACTTACACCTACGCAACGACGCGTTTGATAGCACGGTGCCCCACACACCGTACAAAAATTACAGGAAGTTGCATCTCTCCATTGTAACCATTACAACCGCTGTTGCTGGGTGCCATTAATGATGCCCGCGAGACAGCCGGGGAAACGTCGCTACTCATGAGCGACGCTCCTTCGGCGGCTTCGGCGCCCGCGTCTGACGGTTTCAAGATGGCGGCACCCGTGCAACCGGGTGGGTAAAGAAGGGAGCACAGCACGAAAAATCGTGAGCGCCGACTTTGTTGGTCCCGAGAAAAGGGACGATAAAGACGGCGGCAGAAAAGAGGGGAGAGAAAGCAGACAGAGGGTTAGCCGTGCGCTTTTCTCTGCAGCGACGGAAGGTCGTTGGAGCTCTGGTCGACTTTGTTTCCGTGGCATAAACAACGCTGACTTTTGTTTTTTGCATGGCAGGTTTGAAAAGAAGGCAGCTCCGACCTCACGGGCGACGTTCTGCCGCTTCTCCGCGTACATTAAGGAGCTGCCGGCTACATGGGCTTGTCGGCACCTTCCTCCGGTACCTCCAACGTCCGCGTCTGCGCCGCCCCGCCGTACTGAAGCGGCCGGGATGCGTGGGACCTTTTCCTCCTACTCTTGGCACATCTAGCTGAGCGGCTTTAGTGGCCATATTTTTCAAGATGGCGGCACCCACGCGAAGGCTGCGAGGAAAGGGCCAATTACCCTCCTGGGAGAGGTAGACTTTCGCCTCCTGCCGGGTCCCTTTGATGCCGAAGGCTCCGGTGCCGGTGGCTCTGGAGCTCGGCGTGTCGCCGCCGATGGCTGTGCAGGAGCTTGGCGCGCCGGGGTCGGCGGACGTCTTTCTGGCGTGGGTTTGGCCCCTAAAGAGAGGTTAAGGTAAGTAAGAAAAACCCAAAAAACCTAAAAACAAAAACAATAAAAAAAAAAATAAAAAATAGATAGTTTTTTCTTTTAGTGTTTTTTTTTAGGTAAGGCGGTCTCGCAAACCCACGTTTGGGAACTGTTTCGGCATGAATTGACAAACGACATAAGCTAAGGCCCAGCGAGCCAACTGGGGCCTTAACCTGGACACTTGGAGAGAGAGTCGGCGAGAAATCCTGCGGCCGTTATTGGTCAACGTCGCGCTTGACCTTGGGACCGTCCAATCACAGCCGCCAGATTTCTCGCCGACTTTTTCGCTAAGTGTCCAGATCAGGGCCCCTGGAATGTCGGACCGAGGCACGTGACAACGCACTGTTGATGCACACTCGCTCCGACCTCGCCCGTGGCTCGGTGGCTGCGGAAAGTCAGATGCAGTCGCCGAAGGCTACGAAGGAAATCTTCCTGGCCGGTACATATTTACATCTTTAACCCTATAAAAAAGATAAGAAGCAAAAAACCTCGATATAATTTGATCTCACAGGGTAGATTTGGCTTACGCAGAATTTAGTGGGCGGGACGCGTGTGACAGTTGCTTTGTTCAATCTACTTGCACCTTCTTCACTGGTGCAGAAACGTGAGGGAGCGCACTTCCGGTCGTATCTTGACACACATGCCGGAATTACACTGCCCTGCACTTTTTTGCGCCGGTGCGGGAAAATCGAACGAAGCTACTGCGACTTCACGCGGCACCGTGACGACGCATTTCGAATGCGTACCGCGCCGGTGTATTTGGCGTCCCGTCCCGCCCATGCACCGAAAGCGGTCTCCAAGGGGCGACGAATGACAACAGAAAAGCTCCGCACGTCGTTAGGACGTACTAGAACTGGAAGGTGTGCCGACTGCGTCGGCCTCTCCGTAGGAGTTGGGCATCGTGTGACTCAATTCGGCCGCAATGCCTGGTCGTGTTTTCAATGAAAAAAAAAAAAAAAAAAAGGCCACAGTGCGGCTGTACTTTTGTGTTTCGAGACAAACCTTAGTGCCCCCCTTTCGGGCTGCAAGCCGACCCGTCGTAACCCGCGACCACCAACCTGCGGAACGGCGCTGGACTCTGGACGCAGACACTGGGGGCCCCTCGTCGTCCATGGAAGACTGTGGAGATGGCTCCCGTTCCATCTGCCGAGGTTGTTCCTCCGACGACCTCAAGCTGAAACTCCTCAAGGTCCCAAGACGGCGACCGGCGCCCGAAGCCGACGCCTCGGGAACTATGGAATGGAATGGGAACAATGAAAAGGGAATAACTCTATGGCAATCGCTCGCGACGCACCGAATCCCCACCAAACTAATAAGCGAAAAAGATTTCCCGCTAAATTAAGCGAGCCATACGTGCGGGGAACACACGTGAGGTCCGCCACGAAACTTTGCAAACGGTGGCTGTCGCCGTAAAAATGGTCCTAAGACTCTGCAACAATCTGAACGAACTAAAGCCTGGTTCACGCGCTTGCATTTTCTTATGAAGAGTACTTGTGATAACTTACGACTAATAGATACCTTGGCGACATCTACAAGGTGGCCATGGAACTTTCTTTCACTAGAGCAAAGGTTTTGCAGGTTTTGCAGGGATTGCGAGATCAGCAAAAAAGGATTGTTGAGTGTTGGGTGGTCTAGCCTTGCTTGTAAAAATAATGCTACCGACTTCTGCCAGGTATCCTTTTCTGATATGGTCACTCTCGAGGGACAGTTGACCTTGAGTGACTTTTGCGCTAAAAAAATATTCTGCGACATCAAATGTACATATTATCTTCAGCGTTGGGAAGCACTTTGACTACATTGTACTGAAAGCACTAGCACTTCAAGTAGGTTTGCAAAAACTTGTACTTGAAGTACATTCTTCGTATATGTACTTGTATTTTACTTGGAGTATTGGTTTTTTCATGGTACTTTCCGAGGAAAGCACAACTCTCTACATCAAAATACAATCCCCAAATTTGGAAAAAAAAGGAAAAAGGCACTTTATTGTGTGAAAGCCCCTTTTGTGACACCATTTGGTCATTTCTCTAAGTAAAGTAATGGCAGCTTGAAGACAGATACAAGTGTAAGTGCCTTACAAGTTGATTCTGTTAAATAGTTTGTCAGCGAGAGTAAAATAACTACTCTGTGGCTGCTCGACTTCATCCAATGTTCGCCACCACCGCTGAAAAAAACTGATGCACCTCTGATTACCCCTGGGGCAATGCATACCAGTTTAAAAATAAGGGAATGTAAAGGCACCGTGAAAGGTTAAAGGGATTGCCGGTCAAATTTTGTATTCGAGAAAACAATTGAATATCGATCGTTGTTACTGCCTCGAGATGCATCGTACGTGCAATATCTGAATTTTATATGCCCCTCTGCGTGAGTAATTGAATTTATACTGCTTCAATCGCATTCTAGCGCAAACGCTGCTTTCATTGGCAACATTGAAGCTCTGATGTCACAAAACACGAAGCGAGCATTTCTGTGTCGTCGTTTGCCTGCGAGTGAACGCCTCAACGAGCTTCGTTTTCGTTGTTGTGCTCGACTTGTTTCGTGGTTGGGCGAAATTTTTGTTGCGCAATTGGGTGCCACAACCACCGGGCAGCACCTGCGAGCCAAGACATGACGTTCCACTCTTTTCCGCGAGACGTACAGTGATGAGCAAAGTAGATCGTCGCCGTGCGTAGGCACTAGGTTCCCGTCAAAATCAAGATCCCGTTTATGCAACAATCATCTCGCAGAAGACAGCTGAGCTCTGAGCGGACAAAAGGCTCGTAAGCTGAAGTGTGACGTTGTGCCAACGATATCGAACTACGTCCGTTCACTCCTCGGCCAAATCGGATCAATCAATTTGATTATGCAGCGAAACCGAAAGCAGCAGCTAGGCCATCTGGAAACAATACCAGAGGTTGTACCGTGTTTGAACGAATAAAACGCGACCACAAGTATAACGCGAGGGCAGGTCTTGATGCCCTCAAAAAGAAAAAAAAAAATTATTACTAGTATAACCGAGGCCGCATCAATTTCTCGCACTCGCGGACATAGCAGATGTGAAAAGTCAATAGAAGTAGAAGAAATATCAGTTTATGTCTTGACTGCACTCATCCTCACTGCTCAAGTCCTTCCGTTTACAATTTACTTGGCGACTACGCAGATAAGCAGCAGCACGGCACCTGCTTGTCTGGTAGTTCCTTTTTCTTCCGTGCGAGCTCAGTCGGCAGCCCACAATCCAAACAAGGCACGAAGCAGAAGCACCAACACACAAACACCAGATCATTCTGGAGCAGAAACTAAACAATGCGCAGGCAGAAAAAAAGGCTGCTGAATGCGATACACGATCACACTTCTTGTTCTGGTCCCTCAGAATAAACCGCGTTTACGCCTCGTGTTGCACGATTGCGTAAACGCGGTTGGTGGTTTTGGGTTGGCTTGTGTTGACTTGACTTGGCTTGGCTCAAACTGGCCAATACCCGCATTCCCGCATGGCGAGCGCGTGCGTGCGCGCCGAGTGTCTGCGGCATGCGCGCGTTGTACAAACACAAAAGCGATAAAAATACTTTTTTTTTTGTGATTTCTATTTGTCTTTTCACGTGGCCCAATAGCTAACAAGTTCCCTTCCACACCCCCACTTCTTTTCCCACCAGATATTTTGCATTAAGCCGGAGGGATGGCTTTCTCCTCTGGCTTTCTCCAGACTCGCGTGCCTCATGGCTGAACTCGATTCCGAATATAACGCGAGGTGTGTTTTGGAGCAAGTAATTTTGAAAAAAAAACTCGCGTTATATTCGTGCAAATACGGTATTTAGAACGCGTGCAGCCCGATTCTGTTTGACCCGCATGTGAAAATGGAGCGTGACTATGATTCACCAAGCCTCGTCCAAGTCAAGTGACGACATGCATTTGAACGATTCGCCGTTTGCCTTCGAACCGCGGACATCGCCTCTGAAGGAACATCCCGCAGCCTCATCACCGCTCCAGCGGATCCGCCGACATGTGTACCCAGATGCCGCTTCAGAGGCGAAATCTGCATCCTTTGCTTTGCAAGCGCCCCTAGTTCGATCGGTGGCCGTAGCAGTTGTGTTCGCGCGAAACGGCATACGTTTGCTCGAAACCTATGGCTGTTTGCGAGTAATATCCTGCTAAAAGGCGTGACATTGTTTGCACATGCTTGGGAAATGCATTAAAAGAACCGTATTTCAGTACAGTACAGCCTAGAAGACTATATAATTTGAAACAAAATTCAAGACATCCATCGACCAACGCTTGTTATCCCGACCATCCGACAAACCTTTGCGTTTTGTGACGTCACGCAGCACCTACGGATGTCAGCCATTGACACAGGCGAAATTCAAGGTGCAGTTTCGTACCTACGCTCATGAAAGGTTTAATTAACAAAAAGAGATCATATATCAGAATAAAAATGACGTTTGTCTACATGAAAGCTTCCTCGATGTAACGAGCGCAAAAGCTTAAGTACTTCCGGTTTCGACCGGACAATCCCTTTAACAAGTACTTGTGTTCTACTTTGAAAGTACAATTTATTTATATTACAGGGGGTTTCGAGAAACGAGGACCATGTTTTTTGGTCCGGGTAACTAAACTATGCGTCGGAGAAAGCTCAAACTCAGTGAGAACATGATGCTGGCAGTTGGGATAGAATGTGAAAGCTTGAGAACATGACGTTACCTTCATCAAAAGATAATTGAGAAACAAAATTTTTTTGAGCCAACGTCTACGTAAGCATAATGTTGTTAGAACAAGAAATGACACTCATGTAGCATCTATTTCAGTGAAAAAAAAAAGAAAAAAAACCTTTCAGCAAGGAAGAAGATATTTTCTTTCTTGCTGACAAGTTTTTTCACTAAAATATAGCGAGTTCGTTTCACGGCACTTGTGCCCACGCGTGCCCACTCGCAGCGTGGATTGGGTTCGTTTCGGTCGGCACTCTACGCGTGCATCGCGTACAGTGCCGACACTCCCGAGAAAATCGGGAGTGCGCCAAAATGCAATCCCGTCATGCCTTGCTCCGGCAGGGCCGGCGAGGAGCGGGAGCAGATGACGAAGGTTTGTCTGCTACGATGTGTCGCGGAACCGAACGGAAAAAAAAGTAGATTTACTGAGAGAAATCGCGTCCCGCGGGCAACGAAATCAAACGCGAGCTTAAACTGTGAGCGTCTGCTATTTCACGAAGGAAGCAATTGACAATCCGTGATTTATTTGCAGGTTTTAAATCGCTCTGTTGCCGTTCAAACGCTGAAATATACCACTGTGTAAATAAATGCTCAGAAGAAACGCAACCGTGGCCCCCGAGATGTCTATCGCCATCCGCGTGCGGGTGAAACATGTAACATTTGTTGACAAAACTCCCCCAGCAGAAACCTCTGACTCCCTAATAAGCACCGGAGAAAGCTAAAGATGGTGAATTTACCCAAGGATTGGGCAACATCATCATGTTTAACATTTACCTACGTCAGCCAACTTGAGTTGCCCCGTCGTATTTTCTTTAAGAAAGCTCTCGTTCTCGACGCCCTCACCAAGGCTGATATCTAATCCACCTATAATGACAATCCAAACAGAAAGTCCCAGTGCTGGATATTCAAACAGGCTAGTTTTAAGCCGTACCCTTTGAGTGGTTCACGCATAATACCATGCTCAAACGGATCAAGCTTCTGCTCGGACAGCATCATCAGTTTTCTTCAGTGTAAACGGTTATAAGAATTGAAAGATCGCAACCAGCTGTTTTGTAGACAGCTGGTTGCGGAAATTTACGCCGTCTGTAACTATCTCTACGGCAGCCGAGCTGCTTGAAGTCATCGCAACTACAAACTACAGGTTGGAGCGACCAACGTTTGTAGATAAACGTTGGTAGCGACAGTATTCTCGCACTCCCACGCATCACTCCGAACAGAAAGGCGCTAGTTTCGGTTTGAAGTCAGTACCTTTTCTACAACATAGATGGCGGCAGCATCAGTCTTCTGCACTCGGCGCATTTGGCGAGTTCGTTTGAGTCCAGTTCTCCGTGCAACACTCTGCGAGTGCGATGCATTCTGGGAGAGAACTCGAACGGTGCCAGTACGTGTGAAACGAACTCGCTAACAGATACTAGAGGTGCCCAGTGTCATTTCTTTTTTTGACAATATTAAGCTTAGCTGGACTTTGGCTCCTAGAGAAATTTTTGTTTTTTCAATAATCTTTTGATCCAGGCGATGTCACGTTGTCAAACTTTTGCATTCTATCCCAAAAGCCACTGTCACATTGTCACGAAGTTTGAGCTTTCTGCGATGCTTAGTTTATTTACCCAAGCCGAAAAACGTCGTTCTTGTTTCTAGGGAACTCCCTGTACTTTCAAGCATGTTGTGCTTGGTGTACACCCTGCTTTACTTGAAGTACATAACATCCAATTTACTTTTGTGTGTAAATTACTTTTTAGATGTACTTTGCCAAACCCTGATTATCTATTAGAAATGGCCGCATATAACGGAGTCAAAACTTTTCAAAGCGAGCGTAGAACGAACGTCGTCGTCAGAGCCATGATGTTGAGAGTTCGGGCATTCATTGGTAAGAATAAGGTGAAAATGAAAGCACGTCATTGGCTGAAATCAGTTCAATGGCCTTGGACGCGTTGATTGACAGCATTTGTGACCAACCACCAGTCACGAATATTCCTCTAGCGGAGGCAACGAGCTTAGCCTATATCCTTCAATCACAATTTCTGGGTAAGGATGTATTCGAGTATTTCATTCCAGCAGGCTAGAGTTGAAGTTTGCGACTCTACGCAACCGAAAAGGCAATGCACGCGACGTTCAGAATGCACTTCATCTTTCTTTTGGTTGCAGACACAGCCGTGGCCGAGTGGACAGGGAAGATTGTAGACACGGTTTCGTGGCAATTTGGAACCCAACCCCGAACGCGCACCCCACATTCGCAGTTACGCCTAGTGTTTCAGGAAACTTTTCTCGTCAATGTCACCTTTTCTGGCTTATTTAACGGCACTCAGCACCCTGAAACTCCCTATTTCCATCAATCTCTTACCATTATTCATTCATGCACTCTCAGCATCATCTGGAAACTAACAAATACCTGTGCCACGATACGTGCCTCCTTCAAGGTTAACTCCGGTTCTTTTTACTTCGCAGAATCATCACGGGGCGCCGCTTTCGCCACTCCGCCCTGGTTTCAGTCAGCTCCTCCCATTGACCAAACTCTCTCTATGTACAGCCCTGCTTGTCGTAAGAGATCACAAGAACTCATTCTTAAGCAAATGCAAGTGTGCAGACCAGCCTTAAGGAGCCACTAAAGTGGATTTCGAGACTGTCGTTTAATGCTGCGAAACCAACACATGCGCACTATGGGCATGTTCAAAACCCAAAAATGTCATTGTGAGCAAACATTCTTTTTTCACCATTAAAAGAGCAACCAAATGTCCCGAAACGCCCCTCTTAAGAGACATCTTGGAAAAGGGGCGCGCCGCAATGCCCATTCGCGTTTTCAACGAAGAAAGAGGCCACGCACGGCTGTACTTTTGTGTTTCGAGACAAACCTTAGTGTCCGCCTTTCGGGCTGCAAGCTGACCCGTCCTAACCCACGACGACCCACCTGTGGAACGGCGCTGGACGCCGGATGTAGACACCGCGGGCCCCTCGTCGTCCCCAGAAGACTGTGGAGACGGTTCCCGTCCTGCCTGCCGAAGTCGTTCTGCGGACGACCTCGTGCCGAAACTCCTCGAGGCCGAGGGACGGCGACCGACGCCCGAGGTCGACGCCTCGGGAACGTCTGCCCTCTTTGAAGATTCCGAGGGCTCGTTCTCTGCGTGGACGGAACGCCCCGCGGACGACCTTGCGGCAGAGCCCCTCGGAGTTGCGAGCTTGCGGCTGCTCGGCGTGCTCCTGTGGAAACGGGGATCGGAGACGATGGTTGGGACTTGCACGCGGTGCGTCGAACACAAATGGTTATCGCTCCGGTTCGGGGAATCTTAGGGTAAAGTTGGTTTACACAGAACACATTCCTGTGGCATTCTTTGTAACTTGTAACAAACTTTGCAGTTATTCAAAAACATTTTTTTTTCGGCAGTTCGATATTTTAAGTTTCAGGGAATGAAGCCAGCTGTCGGATGGCCAACACAACAAGCTTTTTATCTATACTCCATCTGACTAAAACCGTGCAGTACAGCCAAGGCTACAGAGAAGAGAATGTCCCTACCTGTTGAAGAGGAGGGAAAGGAGGAAAGGGGGAATCCCAGCCCTTCTCTACCGTTCCTCCTTTCCCTCCTCTTGAACAGGTTGGCATACACTCTCTTCCTTTTAGCCTTGGCTGTACTGCACGGCTTTAGTGAGACAGAGTATAGGGCTCGTCAAAATGTTAGGCGCTGGAGAAAATCGTCTATCTGCCGCAAGTCCTGGCTTTACTCTCTTCATTCACGTTCAGTCCATTGAAAAGCATGGCTAGAGGGCCCAGGTATGCACCGTGTATCGCCACACCACCGTCTAGACAATGAAGTCCGTCTGCTGTAGTCACCGGACGTCAATAGACGGGCGCTTGAACGCAGCGTCTGAAGTTGGCTACAGCTGCGCCATTTTCCGAATGCCGCCTGCTACCAATGCAGCAATGTTAGCTTGGGCTTCAAGCTAGGCGGAAAAACATACCGCGTGGTGTGCAGGGTCCGATCCTGCATCAAGCCTCGGCGAAACCGCCCAGAGTTCGCTAGGCAACCGCTTTACGCAGTCGGCATCGATCTCCGCACCAACGCGTCCGACTTTGGCCAGCGTTTCGGCATTCACGTTAGAAGACAACATGTGGAAGATGGCGTCTCCCATTGCTGGCTTCAGACGCTGCATTCGAGGATTCTTCCGTAATGAAGACACTGCGTTGCCACGGTGACAGAGTAGGACTTTATTGTGCGGAAGGAGATAGCAGGGTGGCTATGATACCGAGGCAACATTTTCTCTGCCGCCCATGTTGTCCTGCTGTTGCCCAAATGTGACAGGTTTGTCACACAACACGGAGAGAGAGCAACAAGTTGCCCAACTGTTGGGAGTTAAGATATTCGCGTAGTTTGGGGCCATTCGCGAATATCTTCATGGGCAATCTAGAATCTAATTTTCTTTCAAGCTGCCTCCTCCAACCAATGTTTTATAAGAGATACATAAATGATATATTTATAATCTGGCCACACAAAGAGGACACGCTGCTTAGCTCCATCGAAGTTTTTAATTTTGTGGACCCTTCTAATTAGTTTTTCTCAATTATTCCAAAACTGAAGTTAGTTTTCTAGACGTCAGGGTAATAGTTGAGGGCACAAAGCTAGTCGCTCGACTCTATCAAAAGCCGACTGACCGTCAAAAATACTTGCACTCCGACAGTGGCCAACCATGTCCTTGCAAAACCAGTATGCATGGCTTGCATGTGACATCATTCAAAAAGCGGTTCGATGATCACCAGAGAAGAGGGGAAGAAGGAGCTCCCCTCTTAGCAGGATCCTCTTTTGTGCCTCCCGGATTTGCACCGACGTCGCTATTTTCCTCCCAAAATTAACCAGTTACTCAAAGTTCTTACAAAAGCAGCTTCCCTCTCCTCCCCTTACATGGTGGTCAAAAGTATGCGATGTGACGTCAGTGCAAGCCATGCATAACCTATAGTCAGGCACACAGGTTCAAAAGCGTGCGTTCAAACCACGGTTCAAACAACGACGGCTCCAACGCTAACCAACTACGAGAAGTATTAAGAGAACAGAAGTACCCTGAACATATTATAGACGATGTTCCGAGAGCAAGAAAAATCATTTTGTAAGTATCGCAGCGGATTGCGGACAGTGTTGAGAGACGGCTAAACTCGCCTGCGAAAACTCCGAATTCTCCCGGGTCCCGGCAGAATAGACACTGCCTATGTTTTATGTCCGCACCCACTTCTGTAGAATATGCAAGCTGCGTAAAGGTGCGCCATGAGGGGGGCTTACCAGAAAGATGCTTGTTTGGGTTGTGAAGGCCATCGCGAAGCGTCTTCTGCTTCCCCGCCTGCCTCAGACAACGACGACGGACTGTCTTGCTCCTGGTACCGCCATCGCTTCGGAGGGTGGGCCTCTCGCGGAGGGAGTTGGGGAAAGATGTCGTATTCATACCCGTCCGACTCCCATCGCTTCCGGGCGTCCCCCGGTTCCCTGCCTAGCAGCCGGTCCCCCGGTTGGTATCGGCGTGAAGCCATCAAACTCCTCGGGGTCGAGGGACGGCGACCGACGCCCGAAGTCGACGCCTCGGGAACGTCTGCCCTCTTTGAAGATTCTGAGGGCTCGCGCTCTGTGTGGACAGAATGCACCGCGGACGACCTTGCAGCAGAGCCCCTCGGAGTTGCGGGCTTGCGGCTGCTCGGCGTGCTCCTGCGGAAACGGGGATCGAAGACGATGGTTGGGACTTCACGCGGCGCGTCGAACACAAATGGTCATCGCTCCGGTTCGGGGAATCTTAGGGCAAAGTTGGTTTACACAGAACACATTCCCGTGGCATTCTTTGTAACTTGTAACAAACTTTGCAGTTATCCAAAAATTTTTTTTTTTCGTCAGTTTGATATTTTAAGGTGCAGGGAATGAAGCGAGCTGTCGGATGGCCAACACAACAAGCTTTTCATCTACACTCCATCTGACTAAAACCGTGCAGTACAGCCAAGGCTACAGAGAAGAGGGAAAGGAGGAAAGGGGGAATCCCAGCCCTTCTGTACTGTTCCTCCTTTCCCTCCTCTTGAACAGGTTGGCATACACTCTCTTCCTTTTAGCCTTGGCTGAATTGCACGGTTTTAGTGAGACAGAGTATAGGGCTCGTCGAAATGTTAGGCGCTGGAGGAAATCGGCCATCTGCCGCAAGACCTGGTTTTACTCTCTTCATTCACGTTCAGTCCATTGAAAAGCATGGCTAGAGGGCCCAGGCATGCACCATATATCGCCACACCACCGTCTACATAATGAAATCCGTCTGCTGTAGTCACCGGACGTCAATAGACGGGCGCTTGAACGCAGCGTCTGAAGTTGGCTACAGCTGCGCCATTTTCCGAATGCCGCCTGCTACCAATGCGGCAATGCTAGCTTGGGTTTCAAGCTAGGCGGACAAATATACCGTGTGGTGTGCAGGGTCCGATCCGGCATCAAGCCTCGTCGAAACCGCCGAGAGTTTGCGAGGCAACCGCTTTACGCAGTCGGCATCGATCTCCGCACCAGCGCGTCAAGACTTTGGCCAGCGTTTCGGCATTCACGTTAGAAGACAACATGTGGAAGATGGCGTCTCCCATTGCTGGCTTCAGACGCTGCATTCTTCCATAATGAAGACACTGCATTGCCACGGTGACAGAGTAGGACTTTATTGTGTGGAAGGAGATAGCAGGGTGGCTAGATTTGACGCATACTTCGGCTCTTTTGCTGTGCTTTTCAGTGGATGGAACATGAACACAAAAAAATTAGTTGTTTGTTCATGTTCACAAATCGTTTAAAACGTTTAGAAATCTTAGAGTGCAGCTCTTGAGGAAGAGGAGGGGAGGGTGTGCCTTTGCTCCTCCTCCCGCTAAATTTGTTAATGGGTCACTTGACACAAAGTCATGTGACGTCATTTTCGCCGCTAGATTAATACTAACGTTTTCGAAGCCTTTATTCGAGTACGACGTTATTGACAGGGAACTAGCTCTGCCATTGAAGCTATCTGTGTTGTCGTGTTACCGGCCATGCATACCTTATCGTCAGGCACACAGGTTCAAAAGCGTGCGTTCAAACCACGGTTCAAACGACGACGGCTTAACGCCAACCAACTACGAGAAGTATTAAAAGAACAGAAGTACCCTGAACCAATTATAGACGATGTTCCGAGAGCAAGAAAAATCATTTTGTACGTATCGCAGCAGGTTGCGCAGAGCGTTGAGAGAGGGTTAAACTCACCTACGAAAACTCGTAATTCTCCCGGGTCCCGGCAGAATAGACACTGCCTATGTTTTATGTCCGCACCCACTTCTGTAGAATATGCAAGCTGCGTAAAGGTCCGCCACGAGGGGGGCTTACCAGAAAGATGCTTGTTTGGCTTGTGAAGGCCGTCGCGAAGCGTCTTCTGCTTCCCAGCCTGCCTCAGACAACAACGACGGACTGTCTTGCTCGTGGTACCGCCATCGCTTCGGAGGGTGGGCCTCTGGCGGAGGGAGTTGGGGAAAGATGTCGTATTCATACCCGTCCGACTCCCATCGCTTCCGGGCGTCCCCCAGTTCCCTGCCTAGCAGCCGGTCCCCCGGTTGGTATCGGCGTGAAGCCATCACTGCGCGACACGGCGTCACAACGTGACTACGACAGTAGCTACGTCAACTACGTCTGCCACAATCGGCGAAAATCCCGCCAGAGTCCAGACACCTGGATTTTGGATTGGATTGGTCCGTTAGTGACATTTGAAGCGAATTAGTGTGCCTAGATTTCAGAGTAGTTCTAAGCGCTTGATGGTGTCACGTGGGTTATGGGACGCGTTTGAGACGTTTGAGATACGAGTTGTCCGAGCTGCGAGCTGACAAAAGCAAATACTTGATAGAGGTGTTAATTGTCTGCAAAACGCCTTTGCCTCTCCACTTGCTTCTCTCCTCGCCAAGCAAAAATGCAATGCATGCGCACTTGAGGCGTTCGTCATTAAACTGCAAACGCTCTTCACGAAACTTGTAGCAGAAGTTGTGAGTTGCAGTTGTAAATATTTACCGAACACTTGTTTTAATAAAAAAAAATAATGTTCAAAGTTTCAGGTGGAGGCTAAAAACTTTTCTTTACTTTAGGAAAGTATAATAAGTGTGATGATGAACAAGACTTGCGGAAACCAACGTTACTAAAGCGGAAACGCAACGCTGATGCCAACGTTGGCTGATGCACATTCATCAAATCAATCCAATCCGTTTGGTACCTTTCCTTTCTCTCTTTTTCGCGTCTGTCGCGTTGATGGTTGATGCATAGAGTTATTATGGGTTGATACCGGCGCCTTTGCTTGACTTTCGCCCGATCGCCCGCCTGGATGGATGGATGGATGGATCTGGCTAAACCCTGTGAATCGGGCGGTGGCTTGCGCCACCTAGCCAACATTATAAATCTAATTATATGTTTTGAATTCCAAGATTAATTCTCACCCCTGCCTCGATTTTAGCCACCAGTCTGATAACCTCCGCACCGCTTGGTTATTTCTACCCGTGTAAAGTCTATTTTTCCTTCACTGTCTTTAAAACCCAATGCTTTGATTAAATCCGCCCGGTCACTGTTAACTGTTGGGTGAAGCCCTTTACAGAAAAGTATTAAGTGTTCAGCCGTTTCCTCCTGCTCCCCACACACACTACATAAAGTGTCCATCTCCTGGTACCGCTGGTACTTAACCCGGTACGTCTTAGTCCGCAATACTCCTGTCCTGGCCTCAAACAACAAAGAGCTTCCCCTAGAATTATCGTAGATATTTTCTTTGCAAATTTCCTGTTTGAACATTCTGTACGTCTCCAGTGCTGGTTTTGTCTGCATACCCGTTTCCCACAGACCCTTCTCTGTTTCTTTTATCCTTTTCTTAACCCGTAATTCCTGGTTGGCGCCCCCACTGCCGCCCAGATATTTGCTTGATAATTTTCTAGTTCGCTTTCTCCATTTGGTATCTACATTCCTCATGTACAAATAACTGAAAACTTTCCTAGCCCACTGCTCTTCCTCCATTTCCCTCAAACGCTCCTCAAATTCTATCTTGCTGCTAGCTTCCCTGCCCTCGAATGACGTCCATCCCATGTCGCCTTGTACCCCCTGATTCGGCGTATTTCCATGAGCTCCCAAAGCAAGCCTACCTACGCCCCGCTGTTTAATTTCTAACTTTGCTTTAATATCTGGTCTCATGCACAGGACCGCATTGCCGAAGGTCAGGCCGGGAACCATGACCCCTTTCCAAATCCCCCTCACCACTTCATACCTACTGTAATTCCACAGAGCCCTATGTTTCATGACGGCTGCATTCCTGCTACCTTTCATCGCTACATGTTTTTCATGCTCCGTTAGATACTCAACACCATTATTTATCCATACCCCAAGATACCTGTACTTATCCCAGGCGAAAATTTTCAACTGGGACCAGTTGGTCCCAGTTGCAACTGGTTTATGGAACAATTCCCAGTTGCAACTGGTCCCAGTTGGAGTTGTCCAACTGGGACCAGTTGGTCCCAGTTGCAACTGGTTTATGGAACAATTCCCAGTTGCAACTGGTCCCAGTTGGAGTCGTCCAACTGGTCCCAGTTGGAGTTGGTACCAACTCCAGCAACAATGAAACACGGCACAAAATGGAAGGTTGACAAGACTTTATTGTCAAAAACTTGGAGAATGAAACTAAATAGGTTCGGTGACGTACACGCTCCGGGTTTAGCCACTTGCTTGCGACGGTTGAATCGCTTTTTCAGAGGTGGTATTCATGAGATGAAGGAAGATCGGCCGCTGGCGTCTGTTAGTGAAGACGTCCTTAGCTTCTCTTCCCATCGCGTGAAGAAAGGTGCTCACCCGTGATCCTGCGTTGCGCAGGTGAAGTCCTGATAAGATGCGGTAGCGCTCCCACCTTGCAATCTCTGTCACAACAGTCGAACATTTTCGAGGTAGACCTCCCGCCATTTTCGCCATTGTGCTCTCCGCGGCGTGTTCTCTTCCGTCCGGTCTTTCCTGGGTGCCCTCCGATCGCTGAACTGCATCGTTCCATCCTCGAAGTTCACCGCCGCCACCATGGCGTGTGTACGGTTAGGTCCAAAGAAGCGCAGCTGTAGTTTTGACATTTTCATAACGACGCCAACTTGGGCGATGGCGACCCTTCCCTACCGCGTCCGTCCGACTCCGGCGTCAGCATAGGCAGCGCCATCTGTCGACAGCGCGTACCACTAATCCGCACCCGCGTGCCACGGCGGCCGGCTAGCTCTGATTAGTCAAAAGATAAATTTATTTATTAAAAGAAAAAAAAAATACTGTTGGTATTTAAATAAATATTTTAATAATGCACTAAATGTTCATTTAGGTGAACACATTTTGTCACTAATTATATTTTCAAATTAAAAAAATATTTAGTTAATTAAAATTTTTATATTATTTTTATAAATATATAAATGTACCCCAGTAATTAAAAATTCCCTATTTGTATAAATCTAAAAATGTTAGTTTTTTTCGTTTTCTTCATTAGCAAAGGTCAATACACCCCCAACTTGTCCAAATTGTTGCCCAATGTTAACTGGGAACGGGAAAGGCATTTGAAGCTCGACTGGGAATCGCTCCAACCAGTTACTTTCCTAACTGGTTCCAGTGCACTCCATTCCCAACTGGGAGTCAAACCAGTTGACTCCCAACTGGGAATGGTTCAAACCAGTTGACCCCTCAGCTGGCCCCAGTTGGACTCCCATTGGTCCCAGTTGATTCCCAGTTGGGACCAGTTAGTCCCAGTTGCTTCCCAGTTGGGACCAGTTAGTCCCAGTTGAAACCAGTTGAGGTGCCAACTGGTCCCAGTTAGAAATTTTCGCCTGGGATATCCACTACCTCCAACATGACCTCTTGTATCCTATGCTCGCCACCATCTTTATCATTAAAAATGAACACTGCCGATTTTTCTTGACTAAATTTAAGACCTAGTTTATCTCCCTCTGTACCACAGATATCCATTAATTTCTGCAAATCTTCTTTGTTGTCGGCCATTAGCACTATATCATCTGCATACATCAGCCCCGGTAGTGATTGTTTCTGCGGCGTATATTTGGGCATCTGGTGGTCGTCAGTTGTCCTAAGTATTGTGTAATGACGGTTCGTAAAGAAGAGCTGGCGCAGTTCCGTCGCTGGTACGACCGTGCGGCCAGGTGAGACTGACGCGCCACATTTTCAAAACTGTTCTGACAGTTGACTTAAAACGAAAAACGTAGCTGTCTAGAGACATCTTGTAAACCCTGAAACGGGGAACGATAAAAAAACGGACGATCCCCATCTCTGGGTTTACAAGATGTTGATTGATTACCAGCTCGCCTGCACTCTCTCACTGCTTACTGTCTAGAGTCCCGTCCGACGGCACTCTCGCAGAGCGTTCAAGTGCCGTCCGACGGTACTCCACTCACTCATTCAAGTGCTTTCCGAAAGTCTCTTATAAAACGAGTTCTCAAAACGAGTTTTTCGAAGCGGAGTGTAGCCTAGTCCTTGGGTGCTCGAGTAGCGGTCCTCCAGCTCGACCTCAAGAAGACATTCGACTGTGTAGCGCACGAAATTCTCTTTGCGATTTTGGACCATGTGAATGTGGGGCAAGTAATTCGCGGGGGCGTGGCTCTGGCGTACCGAAATTGCACTACAAGGCTGATTATAAACAAGTGTCTGGGGGCCCCCATTAAAGTACAACGTTCGGTGCGCCAGGGCTGCCCCCTCAGTCCTCTTTTGTGCAGTATTTATATCGAAACGTTATGTTTAAGGATACAGTATTGTGGGGGGATTACGGATTTTCAACTGGGTTGCTCAGAAGTTAAGCTTTTGGCCTATGCCGACGACGGGTCCATATCACAAGAGCGAATGACATTTTAGCGAACGGCGACATTTGAGCGAATGATCGTTTTAGCGAATAACGGGGGCGCGCGTTAACCCATCCGTCGCGCTGCGCTTTACGCCGCTTCGCGGCGACAGTCTGCGGCAACTCATTACAAAAATATGAACTCATTTGGCCCACCCGAAAACGCCGCTTCGCGGCGTCCGACTATTCGCTAAAGTGTCATTCGATGAAACGTGGGCGTTCGCTAAAACGTCATTCGATCAAGTGAGTGCCTCCCGCCGACGACATTGCTGTGTTTTGCACCTACAAAGAAAGGGTCGAACGAGTAGTGAGGGGAATTAAGGAGTATTCTGCAACCACGGGTAGTAATGTAAACTGGGACAAAAGTATTGGGTTTTGGCACGGGGAATGGACTTCGAGACCGTGTTTTTTTGCAAATGTTAGATGGTAAACAACCCCCGTCAAGTACTTAGGAGTACCGCTAGAATGCTATAAGGGCATTCTAGCGGTACTACCAAGTGGTACTCCATTGGGATGCGCAAGCGCAAGAAATGAAATCTCAACTGGAACAATGGAAAGGACAGCATCTCTCGATATTTGCCAGAGCGATGGTGTGTAATTTATTTTTACTATAAACAATATGGTATGTGATGCAGGTGCTGTATTGCACACGACTTAACATTTAAAAACTTCATAGTGTGTTTGCTCTTCTTATTTGGGGGTCATCCTGGGAAAGGTGAGCGAGGGACAATTTGTTTAGGCAAGTCCGGGACGGGGGACTCGGATTGTCCCACCTGTTTCTCTGTCCGGTAGTAAATAGATTTTTGTTTTTTCGGGACACTTCCGACCCTTTTCTAAGAACTGTGTGTCAGCTGAGGTTGGCGCGAGCGCTGCCTCAGCTGATAGTGTCGTCCACAGAGTGTATACCCGGTCATG